ACAATTAAAAATTTTTTTAAAAATTTAATATTTTGGGCTTATAAACAACTACAATTTTTTTTCTTATAATTTAAATATCACATGATCTGTACTAAAACTTGTGAGTCTTTCAAGCCAAAAATGAGTTGGACCAAAATTTCTATAAGCCTATTTGAGCCAGCTCAATGGAGAGCACTAATTAAAATATTGGAATTTTTATTTTATTCTGTTATCATTATTTTTAGATAAATAACAAATTATTTTATATATAAAATTATATTATATCTATATAACAAATATATTATTAGTGATGAAGTTACAAAAGAGTTAACAAAAAGAACAAAAATATAATTATTATATGATTAATATATATTCAAAGTATATTTATTTTAGATCATATAATAATAATATCGTTAATAAATAATAAATATATTAGGGTTTCTTTGTTCAGTTCAGGTTCAGGTTTAATAAACCTGAACTGAATCTGAATCTAAACTACAAATTTTGCAGATCTTTGAACCTGAATCTAAACTAAACTTTAAATTTATGAATCTGAACTAAATCTAAACTTAAAGTTTTGATTCAGTTTAGTTTAGTTTAAGGTTTATGAATATGTTTAGACTTAGTTACAAAACATAGTAAACAGTGAAAATATATTTATTTAAATTTTTTTTGTCTTTAGAATTTTTGAATTTGAAAATTTTCAACTAAAATGTTTTTTTTACTAAGTAAACCTTTTTTCAATTTTTAATAAAAGTTGTAGAGAAGTGTTTTGCGATTGAAATAGCAGTTAAAATATTAAAATGACTTAGTAGATCACAGAATATAAGTATTTTTATTTTTACAATTATATGTTTTCTTCTTTATATAAATAAAGAAAAAAACATATAGTTATGAAGACTAAAATATTTATATCTGTATTTTAACTACCATTTTGATCGCAAAACACTGCTCTACAACTTTACTTAGAAGCTAAAAAGATTATCGAAAATATTAAAAACCACAAAATTAACCTACCTTAATGTTCTAAGTAAACTTATTCTATGCATAAAATTATATCATATAGATATATGTTTACCTTATAATTTTTAATTTTAAGAGAAATGATGCTTAATTTTGAATTTTTGATCAAAATTTTCAAAATTAAGTATCTTTCTCTTAAACTCCAAAATTATAAGGTAAACTTATACTAATATGATGTATTTTATATGTAGAACAAATTTACTTAAAACATTAAGGTAGGTTTAATTAGTATGATTCTGTGGATTTTAATATTTTATTAATAAAATTATAAAAAAATAATATGATTCTTGAAGTTTTACTAATGAAACCTACCTTTATGTTATAAGTAAGCTTGTTCTTTTTTTTTTTTTTTGGTGTTAAGGTGACCTCTTTGGCCTGGGGACTTTTTATTAGAGTATAGACAACAGTTTATAATGTAATTACAATGATGGTACATCAAGCCACACATGCACTTTTGGTGGCTTATACGATGATGCTTACAAGTTTAAAATATAAAATAAATTGTTATATCATCTGCTATTATTAAAAGTCGGTCTAAATTAATTATTATTATTATTATTATTGTTATTATTCTTATTATTCATTTTTTCCTCTTTTTTAACAAACATTTTAGCATCACTTTTACCCTTTTCAATATCAACAGTTGCTAGTATAAAAATTGGCGAAGCGATTATTGCGAATAAAAACCAATAACAATTTCTTATATTATGGGTGTAATTTGTGATAGCACCTGATACGAGAGGTCCTACGTATAATAATTATGCTTAATTGGAATTAAGTTTAAAATAAAAAATCCGCAAATCTATATGAAATTCATGTTACCTATTGCACTTGATCCCTATTTTTATAAAATAACAACAATAAAATTCAATAATGATAATATACATATAGATATAATTAATGTAGGCTTGAATAAAATTACCTTTGCAGTAATCTGGAACAATGAGAAAAACTCATTTTCATGTCCTTCTGGTATAATTATAGCAAAACAAGCCTGGCAATAACCTTGTATTGATCCAATAATCAATCCAAACAATACCAAGTACATCCAAACTTCCCATTTATTTACTAATCCAAATGGTAACCAAAATCCTAATACCCCATATAATGGTAATAAACTCAAACATATGGACTCAAATATTATCATTGTTTTGATTGATAATTGAAATTTTTTTTGTATAAAGAGTAATAGGTATATACCTATTACAGCACATACTGGAACGATTATGGCAAATATTGAGAGTTCGAGGTCTGACATCCCAAGAACTTTTTTGCCAAATAGAACACAAACCGTTACTATTGTGTTTTGGCCATCTGATATGAAAAAAAAAGCAAAAAGAAATTTCATGGTCTGCCAAAGTTCACGAGTTGACATCAACGTTTTTCCCACACGTTTCCATGAATATACAAGATAATTTTCACCCCTATTACAAGCAATTAAAAACATATTAATATATCATAATCAAAATAAAATAAAAATAAATAAAAATTACTTAGGTAAGGGTGGCCTAGGCCTGCTAGTCAACCACATCGCGGGAAAAATAAGAAAAAACTAAAGAATTTATTAGATGTAAAAGGCATAGTATATAAACACGTCCGTTTGTTTTGACCATAAATTCAGAATTATTTTGTATTAATAATGACAGTAATATGTTAAACTCACCAGCCACCATACACCACAAACTACTAAAGCAAGCTGAAAACTAAAAGAACTTTGGTTCATTGCGAGAATTATTCCGATTCCTGCGAATATTATTATCAAACCAGCACTAAGATCTGCAGCCATTGAGTATGAAGCCAGTTTAGTGGCGATTACATCTCTCAATGTTTTGATTTCAGCAATAGATGCACCAGAATGTTTTGCTTCTATGATATTCGGGTGACATCGAGTAAATATTGGAATATATGCTAGGAAGAAAAGGAACGCCGCACCGAAACAGCAGTTTCTGAATTTTATAATTTAAAGTATTAAAATCGAAATAATTTTGGAAGGTGGGCGCAAATAAGTACGTACGATATAATAGTAAATAATCCAGCCAACCCGTATAATTCTTGTATAGAATACAGAAGTTTTAATTAAATTGATATTGCTTATAATAAAATCGTAGAAAATTTTAGAGTACTCACGAGGATTAACAACAGTAACAAATGCAATCGTTGAAATTGCCCCAACAAAAGAAAAGAACAGAAGAAATTTTTTATGCGAACCTAAAGTTACGTGTAGACAAAAAATTTGTTAAATTAGGTGTTTTTCGCGTGTTAATACTGTATAAATATTGTATCTCTACGCACTTCCATGATCAGCCAGTGAACCACAACTAATAAATAGAATCGCTTGAAATAGTACAGATAATGCGATTATATAAAGCGAATATGATTCAGTGTCGACAAAACTTGCACCAAAACGCGTGACACATGTATAATCTGTAACTGTCTAATGGTTAACAAACAAATTAAACCGACATTATTTATAAAAAGATTATTAGTATAAGTCATTCCATCATCAAGACAGTTTATCAGAATTTATAAACTATCAGTTAAATGGCTGGCACAAATTTAATTTCGGATAATTGTAAGTCGTAACCTACTGTATTGCAGGGAGTCACTTTATCGAGTTCATATCCAGCCTCACTAGAAAGCGTTTCTAGAACTACAGGAATAAACACTAACGACGAAGTAATAGACAGTAAAAGTTACATATGAATGTGTATTGTGTATATAAGGAATAGTATTATATGGGAAATCACCTGATATCGCAGTTGTATCATAAACACCAATCTACGATAAATCGAAATATTAGTACGTATCGATGCTTTGTTCTCATTTAATACTACCATACATCCTGCTACAATAGAAGTTAGATCAACCGGCTACTATCGAATGCTTTGGCTAAAGCTATTCGGCTTATAGCAATCAAATTCAGTAGCCAACTATTCCAACTTCAATTAAGATGGACTTATGCTGATTTTATCACTTTGTCTACGTAAAAAATGTAATAAATGAACTTACAGCAAAATTATGAAGATACCATCCTATTAGTTCTTTCTTTGTAAGAGGATTTGACTCGTCTTCATTTTGAACTTTTTCGTAATCTTCACCTGAAGTGTCCATTTCATTCAAGTTTAGGAATAACAACCGAGGCGCTTAATTAAAATATATATTTGGCTTAAAGTTTGTTGCATTGCACAGGTACTACCTCAAATTTAGTTATTGATTAATGTACGTACAGTACGTACAATAACCAATACCTATACCTCAAGATTACATTTAATTACTTACCGAATCGAGTAATTGTTACATTTCATTGACTATTCAATCTTTATGATCTCCTTTCCGGGGAAATGTAACGCTATGCAAATTTGCTGAATCATAGAATAATAGGAAATATACTAGGCAATGAGTAATACCTAGAATGCCAAGATACAACGTTTTATCACATGATAAATTTGGTTAACAGTAGTACGTACGTAGGTCACCTACAAAAAAAATTCTGGTCCATATGAGTGACGCCAAGGGAAAATGGAACATTGATTATTTAAATAATCAATGATCAACCGATGTCCCATTTTCTCTTTATGTGGTGGCGTTAATAAATCTAGACGATCCGTTGGGGTGTTAGATACTATCACCCACTATGTAGGTCATTTGCTAGGAAAATCACTGTTTGAAAGCAAGGATTAAATGGTGATTTTCCTAGCAAACAACTCATATAAGTTTTTAAACTGTGTTTTTAAATGTTATCTCTCATTTTAGTAAAGCAAATTCGATTCTATAACTTGCGAATGATATAAAAATAGCGCGGTCTTGAATCTATGTTGCCATATTTAATATTAATAATATAAATCTTAGTAGGTCTCTATCCCTTAATGCGTAAGCAATTGCAGGCAAAATTTATACTATAAATATGTTTTTTTTAAATATTTAAAATATTTAAATAAAATTTTATATAATAATATTTAAAAATAAAGATTATATTCTTGCTATAT